AATATAACTAATCTATCTAAACTAACAAATATAATATATATAACAAATATAATAAATCTGGTAGATCGGTCAAATATAACCAATATGTCATATTTGTCAGATTTGTCCAATTTGTCATATCGGTCAGATCGGTTAAGCATCAAATCACATGATTGGTTGTAGTTGATCAGCGCAGCATAGATCACGCCTTCATTGTACAGTGACTTTAAAGAGCAATTTAAATATTTTGGTCAAAGGAATTCAACTTTAATCATATAAGTAAAGTTGTTCAGTGATTTCAAAAATATGTGCATATAAAATTTTATTATAATTGAATTAATAATTGTAAAGATATGAAAGATTTTCTAATTGTATTAACAGTCACCTGATTTGCAGATTTATCGTAACTTGTAATATTAATTTTGCAGTTAAAATAATAATGTTAGTATCTTTTTTTTTTGAAAAATAATTAAATGTAAAAATATATCAATATTTTTTTATATTTTTTTAAAAAAATATTAAACAAAATATATAATTATTTAGTTTTCCTTTTTAGACAAGTCAGGTCAGGTAGGTCAGGTCAGGTCAAATCAAATGTATATTTAATTTAGGTCAATTTTATGTCTAACCTGACTTAACCTTATCAGGTCAGGTCAAGTTAATTATCCGATTTGACCTGACTTGTTTAGAACTCAAAAACTACAAATAAAATCAATTGTCTAATTTGTATTATCATACTAATAATATCAGATAAATTTATGATTTTAAACTCCATTAATATTATAAATAAAAAATTGGATAAAAATCTAATTGACTAACCTTTTAAATCAAATATAAACCTACTATATCAGTTTGACTTCAATAAGATACAAATGATATATCTCTATAAATCTTAAATCAAATCTTAATATTTGTAATAGAACTAGCAGAAATATCACAGACATCAATACAAATATAAATTCTATTCACGTATCCTTCAGTATATTAAATGAAATTATTAATCTAGAAATAACATCAGATATTAACTACTTTAACATTGACAAAAATCATGTCAGTTATTTCAACTTTCATTTCTGAATATTATGTTCTAATCATTCACAAATCTCAAGGACTCATTATAAATAATATATCTATCAGCTTAGATGAATAAATATTCTTAATTGGAATAAGCATATATAACCTTTAACAGGTATTCTAATTGAGTTCACATTAAAATCATTATACTTAAATAAATCACCTTTATGATAGATTTAGAGATAATCAAAAATATAAATATTTTGAAATAATAGCAAAAAATCACTTACCTATATAAAAAAAGAAGCAGTAAAAAAATCTAAACAAAAATTAAAACCAAAACTATCAATGAACAAAAATTTTATTACTGTAATTTCTTTATTTTAAATTCAGAAAAAAAAGATAAAAATAAAACATAATTTTAAAGAATTTGATAATCAAATTTTTTTTTTTATAAAATAATATAAAATAATTTAAAAATATATTTATATCCTAACTAAAAGTCACATGAAATAACGATACAAGCCTGTGTCTTAGTGTGATACCTCAACACCATTTTAGTTTATATATAGTTTTAAAAGTTTTTCTTTATTTTTATTTATTTAATTTGTATATAGTTATAAAAGCATTTATTTAATTTAATTTTGTATAATCTATCTTTGTATAGATTTATTTAAATTTTGTATATATTTTAAAAATATTTAAATTTAATTGTAAATATTTACACAATAACTTTATAAAGTTTAAAAATAAGTAATACATGCTTATTTGTAAAATGTTTAGTGTTTATTTTTAAATTAGTATTAAATTAATTAATAATAACGAATTATTGTTAGAGTTATAGTTAGGATTAGAATTAAAATTAGGATTAATTATGGTTAGGATTAGGATTAAGTTATTATTAATAAACCCTCCCTAACGAGTTAATAATTAGATTAAGTTGATTTATTAATCTATATCACTTACAAATTAATATATGATATTTTGGTTTTATATTTATTTATATTATAAACATTTTAAGATAAATTGAATTTTCACGTTGCGTTGACGAACCCCGCGTAGAACTGCAAGTACTGTATATATTAAATGGTGTTGCATTTTCATGAACTTATTTAGTTAGATATTAGTAAAGTGGCGTATTATTAGTTGGAACGAAATGATTTCGATTAATATTTATCCTGAAGTTTCGTACGGATATTATCGGACTTATATTTGAGTTTCGCTTAAATACTGAGTGTAGTATCATGTTTCGGATTTTTCATAATCCGAGATGTTTTAACCCAAAACTATAGTTTTAAGTCATCGAATCCATCCCACTAGATTAATACTCGATTTTATCAAAAATAATCATTGCTTGCCCAACCGTATATATCACTTAACCAATTATTAAAGATTTATATGGATTGTTTTAAACTTTATTTAAAGGTAAGATTTTAACTGAAAATTTTATTAACAACTTGCTTATTATTTCGTTAGCAAACTCTCTCTCTCTCCAAAATAAGTATTATAAATATATATTCAATTCCCCCTTTTCCCGGGTCATTTTTACGAAAGTATTCATTCAAAATAGTTAATAAACAAGTTTATACAGTAAATAAGTAAATGAAAACAGAGAATTAATTAGATTATCTACAAGTGGTCAAACTTATGTTTAAATCACCGAATTAAATTTTATTTCTATAATCTTCTTCAATCAACTTGCTTGCTCTCCATGCAATCATGGCAACAGGCGCATTAGTATTAGTATTCGGAATAAACGGAATAATTGAAGCGTCAACAACTCGAAGATTTTTAGTGCCATAAACTTGAAGGCGATGATTAACACATCCTCCTTGAGATTCTGGTGCCATCTTTACTGTACCACATGTATGAGACGCTGTTGATGTCTAATTGTTGGTGAAATACAAAATAAGTCAATAATTTGCATTAAAAAAGTTCTTCATAAATACATGATATATATTTGTTGAAATTACCTTTTCACGGATATATCTTTCCCAATCTTCATCACTCATCTCTTCTCCTACACTACACCATTTTCCAAATTCATCATTAAGTCCTATTTCTTTCACGGCCCATACAGTACTTAATGGAGGTTGCTTAATAATTTCACGTAATAATTTTAATGAACTTATCATTCTATACATATCTTCAGGTTTTTCATAATAATTGAGGAATAGTTTTGGTAGCATGAATGGATTAGAACTACATAATTCCAAATGGCCAACACTTGATGGGAAATTTAAAACTGAGGCCAAAGTAAATGCTTCAAATTTTTGTTCTGGTGTGCCTGATCTGATATAATCGTCAATAATAGGATCAAAAACAATTGCGTTTACTATAATAATAATAATATTTATAATCAATGAATAAACGCTCAACAGTATTTCAAAAATATATTAGCAAACTTACCATATGATTGAAAATCCGGATGGTCATCGAGTAATTCATCTTTACTCGGAATTTTTCCTTCAACGTTACCTTTGTAATTAATTCCAAGTTTAATCCCACAACACCATGAATGAATTCGAGAATCATTTGTTCCATTTGGATTAGAAACTTTGCCAATGATATAACATAAAGGATGATCCAGTAAATTACGTCCAATTGGTAATTCTTTTCGAACTTTGATATTATTTGCCTCCAAATTATTCTTTGGACCGATTCCAGATAGCATTAAAATCTTTAAAATTAATAAAAATATATTAATATATATATATATGACGGACTCAATAACAAACAAAACATCAAGATAATTTCATTAGCGAATAATTTTAATTCTTACCTGAGCGCTATTAATAGCTCCACCACAAATAATCACTTCTCCTTTCGGAGCAATGAAAGCGTTATGAATTCCACCATTACAGAAATACTTGACACCAATTGCAATATTTTCATCTTCTTTTTCTTCGTCCCAGATAATACTCAACATATGGGCAAAAGATTTAACATTGACAGCAACGATCTTTGCAACGCCGTTGGCTATCCCTCCATAAGGAAGTGTTAATGGTTTTAAAGGAGGGTATTTTTCAACTTTTTTCAATGCGTCCGTCAGATAAGCATCAGCTAACGAAAACCGCTTACCATCTTTCATTGTAAGCTACATTTTAGATAAAATATCAAACTTTTAAAAATGAATTTAAAAGTTTACTCATTTTACACTACTAATTTACCTGATGTTTCCCTATTCCAGTTTGCGTAGCGCCGTTGAAATCGTTATTATAGGGAATGCCAAGATTGTTTGCAACTTTAATGAAGTCTTTTGCCATCTCATAAGTATCATTTGGACTATCTTGTACGTGAAGTTGGCCATTGAACCCATGATACTTTTTAAATTCTTCATCTGGGTTTTCACGCGCGTTGTTTTCGACAGATTTGAAAGCTTTAAAAAAGTTTTTAGAAAATGAAATTAATCTCGGTAATAATCTAGGAGAAAAAAAGGTATAAATTAATGCATACCCTCAAAACAATGATCGTAATCCCAAATTTTGTATTCAGGACCTTGTGCCGCCCAACTATCGTAATCAGACTTTTGACCTCGCCTATAAACAATTTACATTTTAGCATTATAAATAAATATTAATCATGAAATTTTTACGACACAATGCATTGAATGAAGAATCACGAGCAAAGAATTTATTATAAAAAAATAAAAATAAAAATAAAACCTTACATGTAAACCATTGAGTTTATGGTGCTACATCCTCCAATAACCTTGCCACGCGGATAAGGGGTCCTTTTAATTAACACCTCTTTTGTAGGTTCGATAATACTTTGCATCCTTTGCTCTTCCGTATAATATCCCCAATCTGTTTCACTTGCTCGATAAATCTAATTGCGATAAAATCATTAATTAAAGAAATTCGATAACGGAATTAATTACATTATACGAACTTACCGAAGGAAGTGTACAAGGCAATCGAATTTTATCATTAACTTGCACATCGGATGGACCAGCTTCTAATACTAAAATGTTAACATTGCTAATATTATAAATGAGTTCTCTCGCTAGTACGCATCCGGCAGTTCCGGCTCCGACAATAATAAAATCATAAATTTCATTGGCCTTATCAAACATTTGACGTTGATTCCGGCAATGAATGCTCTCCGACCAAAGATTACGAATTTCGGCATCAAGTTTCAATTCATTCTCTAATTTCGGATGGAAGCTCTCTGCATTTTTGTCGGAGGATTTTAATTCTGCCATATAATTTTTTTTTTAATATTTTTTTTTTGAAAAAAAAAAGATGGATCGAAAAAGCAATCAATTTTTTTTCATAATCCTTTAAATATTAAAACCTTTAATTTTATCCTTCAATATTTCTTTTTTTTTTTCGAATATAATTCTACTTTAGGATGATGTTATGCAGAAAATTTTTTTGATTGTCTCAATCAGAGAAAAAAACTTTATTTACATGCTTGTGGCGCAGTACCTATTGAATGACAACATAATTATCGACCATTTTATAAGAAATTTACCAAGATTGGTATAGTTCTTTTCCCAATCAAGAAATAAAAACATTTATAATATCATATATTCTTTACCTTCTCATTGACATTATGATTAATTTTCCACAATTTAATTCGTCGACCGTTCAGGATTAACGATAATGAATTGATCAAAAAAGATAAATAAATAAAGAAGATTATTACTTTATTTGAATATGTGGACGATTTACTTAAATGATATCATTTCCTCGTTCCATTCTGAAATATTCAATTTATTTAGTTAATAAAATTTTACTTAAATAACAAAAGAAGATTTTATGCATTAAAAATAAAAGCGCTCCAGATTTTCTAGGATTACTAATAGTTAGAATTTTCCTGGATGTAGCATCATTCCGGAGCAAAGCAAAGGTCTTATTAGCCTTATGAAAAAAGACAACTTTTATGACCAAATTTGAAAAATTGACATGACGATTCTAAATTTAAAAAAAGAAAAAAAGAAAAAATTATCATTAGTTTTTATAAGTTGACTGAAAATAGAAATTCGGGGTAAAATTGGCGCAACGAAAATTTCATTATTCGTCGAACCGCAATTCTCGATTTTGAGGCGCAGTAAGACAAAATTTTATTATCAATAAATAAAAAAATATATATATATAAAAAGAATTGATTTTTTTACAAGCTGTTCTCATCTCATCTATTGTTAAGATCGAAATAATTTTAGAATTATTTCCATTTCGCATTTCCTTTAATTGATTAATTTTAAAGGTTTGCATTCGTGATTTTTGTAAGTAGCTTACTCATGTAATTTGTATCATACTGCCTTAAATTAGCTGTTAATGCATCAGATTCAATACTTAATGAGATCGATTACACAGTAATCTTTAAAATTTGAAATCCATTTTGGTAAATTGACTGGATATTTCAGAAATTTATGTAGTATTATTGTGTGTATACAGAATATGATTAGATTTAATTATACATAAGTGATAGTTAGTTATAATAGATTCGAAGTCATCAGCAGTCAAATAAATATTTTTTTCTGAGCTTCACTTCATTAACTTTTAATCAATTTAAACATTATCATTGAACGAAACTCTTATTTTTTGTTCATAATCACGTGATTCGGTATCAACTTTGGCGCAGTCAAAGTTCGATTAGCAAGGGAGGAGGACGGTAGTTTTCCAAAATTTATGATCGTGCCGTAATGTTCTCAATAATATTATAGAATCAAATCTGATTTGACAAAATCGTACCGTACTGATTAGCCGAACTGATTTTCCCTACCCTATATACTCTTCGGGAATTGCCGCTGTTTATGTTGTCAAACATTTGATAACCTACATGCATAATGTGCACAAAAACTCCGAATTCCTTATTTTTTTTAAAAAAATTGTTTCATTAATCTTGGTATAATATTCTAATTTGATTAAACAATTATATTTACCACTACAAAAAAAAACATTATGTGCATCCGACGTTGATCAATTTTCATTAAAAAAAGATTTAATTTATTCATTCAACGAATAAAACGTGTTTTTGATGTTAGTGCATGGCAAATTACCTTTTCTTAATCCCTTTTATGTTCAAAGAGAATATGACCAAGCTTTAGATAAACTGATTAAAGAAAAAAACACGATAGTCTTGATTGGCGCTTCAGGTACAGGTAAAACGCAATTGGTTAGGCAATGGGTGAACCTTATTTTAAAATCATCTCACGTTAATGACTATGAGGCTTTAATCTGGGTAACAGCTGACCAACCAGATACGCTCTTGAGTAATTGTAAACAGATCGGAGGATCGTTAGGAATTGAAGGATTTGAGCAATTATCAGTCGATGAACTTGCTGAAACGATTAAAAGAAAATTAGAAGTACAACGTTATTTAGTAGTTATTGATGATGCTTCTAGCGAAGATGTAAGATGCATTATTGAAAAATTCTTGCCAGATTATAATACCGATATAATCATTACCAGTCACTATGAAGATTGGGACTATTATAAATTATACGTAAAACAAAGTACCGAGCAGGAAGCTTTATCTATTGCAAAACATATTATCGAGGAAAAAAAGTCTAAATTTGTTGAAGAAACGCAATTGAGAGATTTGGTCACGCACTTTGAAAGTAATCTCTTATGGGTGACGCAGGCGGCCAATTATATCTCGGAAAATTTGGGCGGCGATGTGATCACCTACTTAAAAAATGGCGAAAAGTCGGGCCAGCCTTTAAAAGATTACCGAAAAAATTCACAGCAAGCTTTAACGTCAACCCTTAAATGTTTTCAACTTGTCGCTAATCAATTGCTATCAAAAGAGTTGCAGGAACCAAATCTGGCATTATCAATTTTACAAATTTGTAGTTTATTGCCTAGCCGAGACATTCCGGTAACATTATTGGTTCAATACTTTCATAACTATTCAAAAATCTTAGAACAAAGGTTGGAACAAATGATAAACCTTTTATGTAAGAAAACAATGTTGATCGAACGTGAAGGTAGTTATTTAAGCATGCATCGTTCCTATCAAACAATGTTAAATCAGAATATATTGGTTGAAGCGAATCTCATCACCTCAGATCAATTATCGGAAATCCAAGCTTGTTTTCTCAAATTTCTGGTAGAAAAGGTGAAATGGCGTCGTAGTGAGGCTATCAACCCCATTAAAAAATTTCAATGGGAAGGGCAAATTGATATTTTACCACATGTTAAATCGGTAGTTACATACTTTGAAGAAGAAGCTGGTTACGCAAATTTATTGATCGAGTTATATTATGCCATGGGTAGTTATTATGAAGCACAGGATTTCTTGCACGAAGCGAAAGATTGTTATGTCAAATCTCGTGATTTATGCAAAAAATCATTGTCGAAAAATATATTATCGAAACTTGCTAATTTGTCAATAGCATCGTCAATCGAAATCACCAAACAAGAAATAAAAGAGGCATTGAAGCGATGTGATTTGGAGCAAATTAAGATTTATAGCATAGAAATATTATATAAACTGGCTTCAATCAATGTCAGATTATGGAATAGCTTGTCTGAACCGAAAAAAAAATTAACGGTTCAATATCTTGAACAATCATTCCATATGCATCCATTACTGATCAAGCCAGAGGATGTTAAGGCTTATCAGGATAGATATTACACACATCGTAATTTAGCGACCGCATACAAGAACCAAGGTAAATCACAAGAAGCCGAAAGCATCATTTCCAGCCTAATAAAATCGGAATATGTTAAAAGCAACGCCGAAATACGCTCTCTTGCTTATCTCGATGTTGCAAGAGGAGAAATAAAATCGAGCCCTCAAAAAGCAATTGATAATCTAATGGAAAGTTTAAGCTCAATCCAGTCAATCTCGGAGGCTGATTATTCCTACGGTAACCGTGCAAAAGATATGACAATTGTTTATATCGAATTAGGTTGCGCTTATCTGGAAAAAGCTCGTGCCGAATTAAATGAAACCAAGAAAAATGATGCATTAAAGAAAGCAGATACGCAACTACGTTACGCTTTGAAGTTCAATCGCGACTATTATAAACGAGAGGATAATAGAACCGCTGGCAGAATTTTTTATCATTTGGCCGAAGTTAACGAGACATTGCAGTATTATTTCTTGTCACATGATTTCGTAACCCAAGCGATCCTGATCCAACAAAATTTTTATCGAGATCCTAAACATTTTTATATCAAATGTTCAACTCACTTATTAGAAGTAATTGAAGATCAAATAAAACATTTGAAAGATCCACTTGAAGAAATTGAGATAAAGTCACTTCAAATCCTTCAACAAGAACTTGATCAAAAAAAAGAACAATTTAACTTGACAAATAGTCCTCAATTACTCAAAGAATACACTGATATTCTTCTGTCTACAAATGACCCAGATATTAGAGATCTTGTCATCAAAAACTATCAAGAATATCTAACGGCTCCTAATCTCGATAAAAGTCGTCGTGCTTCTGTATATAGGCGATTAGGATACGCTTTTTACCAACAAACTGTTGTATTCGAGGGCAGTCTCATGGAGGAACGAAAAATAAATGCGAAAGCTGCTTATAAAGAAGCACAGAAATATTATAAAGATTTATTGACAGAACCAGAGTTCATTGGAAATGACGTTATTAAATTCAATTATAATAACTGTTTTTGGTCCTTGAATAGATTAGAGAAATTAAAACTTGCCGATGTTCATTTAACTAAAAATAATCATGAATTGTTTGAAATCGAGCTGACCAATGCATTGTTGGCAAGATTTATCCATTATCAAAAGAAACTAGATCCAAACAATACAACCTATGATAATACTAAAATAGCTACAGAAATTTTCAAATCAGCAACACATGCCCTAATCCCTAACGTGAGTGTAGATAGTAATGGCATATCAGCGTCTATAGAACCTAAAGAGCTATTTAAAGGAATAGCAGATCTGATTCAAGCAGTGAACACGAGAAAGATGCAAGATAAGGTGGAACAAATCATACAAACTTTCGAAAACAAGCATGAGACGATGAAAGTTCTTTTTAAAGGCATTGCAAAGAAAGTAAACAACATCTATTTTGAGCAGATACAGCAGATTGAACCTGAATCTATTAATACCTTTGCTCAATTTATCTCAAAGCAATTATTTGCTTATTTGGGTTCAAAGAAAATGCAATTTACATCAGATCCCACCGAAACACTAATTACTGGATTATATTTCACTGAATATAAAAAGAACTGTTTGTTAACTACCAGTATTGGAGTTCGATGGAATGCTAGAGAATTACTCCGTTATACGGGTATCATTAATCACGATAAGCGCATTTACATTTATACCAAAGCGCCAGAACTCAATCTTAAATATGGTTTTCGATATGATAAATTACCAGCTATGCACCGTCATTATGAATACCAACAAAGTCGGGTGGAAGCCGAAAATCGACTCAAACAACTATCTAAATCGCAAAAGAAAACGAAATGCATTATTTGCTAGTGTTACCTCGGGTTTTGACTGCGCCAAAATTTGATCATCGCGGTTATGACGATCAAATATGTCAATTCTGACGGATCTGTTGGAATTGACTTTTCGGATCTTTAGGACTATTCGGACTCCTTGGCAAGATGGAAGAAATGTGTTAAAATGATCACTTTGACATCAGGGATCAATTAATAATCACTTCCGTCATCCAAGCCGCAAGCCTCCTGATATTTTCAAAAAATGCCGTAACAAAGACTTAGTAAAATTTTATACTTCGTTTCGCTTTTAGTTTACGATAGAATTTCAACCATATTTTGAATTTTATTGTATTCATTTATAATTTATTAAATAAAATTTATTTCTTTTATTTCATTTAAAAACTTGTTATTTTATTTCTTTAAAAATCGATTTACATGCTAATTTCGCTATATCGCAATTACATAAAATAAATTTATAATTAATTACCTCTCTTACGAAAATAGGAGCTTGAAAAAAATAAATCATCATTTATTTGGTGTTTTACTTTCGGTAGAATGTGCAGATCCTATTTTTATTTATATCGATTACTTAATTAGGAAACTTTGGAACGTATGACAGTTTCTGATTAGTCCTTATAGGTTAGCTTATTTAATATTTAAACCTGAAAAAAATTTCTAAAAAATGATTTTATTTTTATTTCTTCAAAGCCGATTTTTTGGTACGTTAATGATAAATAAGATACCTTTTTAGAACCAAGACTCGTCACATCAACTTTTTTACAATGGAAGAGCTTGTAATTAAATTAAGCAAGGCTAAAATCGAAAATGATACTAATCAAATTGTGAATTTGCTTAAGAAAATTGGTCAACAGCTTTGGCAGAAAATTTATGAAGAAAATGATATTACCATACAAATGGCAGATCAATGTTTAACGATTTACAAGATTTACATGGCTATTAACAAAATTGCTAAAAAAAATTTAATAACGACACAAGAGATACTAGCATTGAAAGATTTTTTATTTAAAAGGGTATTACAATTCAATAATGAGCCAATAAATTTCTTTCCTCGCATTAATGAATTTTATAAATTTCTTAGAAACATTCAATGTGAGCAAGCTAAAGAAGTTATCCACCAAATTCGAGAAACAAAAACTAATTCCGAAAAGGTTGTCATTATTAAAGAATGTTATCAAAATCTAAATCTGTCACTGCGTAAGCTACTTTATGATATCATTGAGCTCGCTCTTGAAGCTTTTCATGATGACGAGATTAGTCATCAATCCTTCGCGGTTGTGCTATTTGGTTCGTGGGCAAAGGATACGGCAACACCCTACTCAGATATAGAATTTTGTATTTTAGTCAATGACCGTAATCCAAAATTAAAAGAGACGTTACGCAAAATGGTATATTTGATGAACTTCATTGTAATCAGCCTAGAACAAACCGCTCTTCCAGCGAATTTATTTCAAGTTTCTAATATAACAAACGGCATCTACTTTGATGATCTACTGAAGCCCGGATTTCAATTTGACTTGGGAGGTAAAACTCCGCTTGGGCGTTTAGATAAAGCTTATGATTTATTACAAACCCCCCAAGATATGGCAAATTACATTAACTTTGGCATGCTCCAACAAGATCCTATGCTAGTTGCTGAATTAATTGATTGTCAATTTTTGTTAGGTAATGTAAAGCTATATGAAGATTATAAACTAATGATTAAACAACAATTTCTTAAGGAGGAAAATCAACAACCATTTCATAAAAGAATGGCCAAGTTACTTTTAAAAGATGGTACAATGAGCTTTAAACAAGCTGATTTAGAAAAATATCAAATCAACGTAGATAAAATCAGTCACGAGGGAAGGTTATTAAACATCAAAGCTGAAATTTATCGTTTGCCAGACAGATTGATTGAGGGACTACGATTAATTTTTGCAACACCAGGTGAAACATTATGGGATAAAATTTCAGGATTGTTGAATTGTAATATTATCAATCAGGCAGGATCGGTTAACCTTGAATTCATGACAGCTGTTGCATTACAGTCGCGATTGTTTACCTATGCCGCACATGGCAGTCAAAGCGAAAGACTAGGCATTTGGGATGTAACTGTCGCACATAACAGCTCAGATGTTGAGAGTTTTTTGGGCATCGAAGATGTTTCTAATCTGGTTAGGTTCTATCAAGTTGCAATTCCTCTTTACCAGTTTGTGAAAACGAGTGTGAATCGAGAAAACTTTGATCAAATTAATGCAGAGCAAAACTTTTTGGATGAGAGGCTGATAACAAAAGCTACCATTTGTTTTAGGTTTATGCTTTATCGGCAGGCCGAAATGTTATTGCTTGAATCACAACAAACTGAATCGAGAGATGCACATTTTCAATTGTATCGCTTGTATTCCCACATGGGAAAGCCTCAATTAGCTTACGAATTCTATGAAAAATACCTAGTAAATAAATCAAAAGATATTAGTGATCGTTTTAGATTGGGTTACCTAAAATTAGTGCTGGGAAACCACAAAGAAGCGCTAGATGAATATAATATTATACTCGATGAACTTGTGATGAATCATCAAGAATTATCCATGGATCCTATACAGTCTCATTGCTATATTGCCCAAATAGAAGGTTTACTGGGTAACACCACAGCCGAATTTCATCATCTTGAACAAGCTAGTGAGATCGTCGAGAAAATCCCTGACAAACAAAAAGATGATGTGATGATCGAATTTTATATTGGCTACGCTAAATATCATGCGGGTCAAAATCAATTTGATCGTAGCAAACATTTTATTCAACTGGCCTTAGATTATACGGATAAGCTTTATGGTAAACACGCACATACTAAATTGATTGATATTTATCAACAAGCGGCTGATATTTCCCAGCAGTACAATCAATGGGAGCAAGCAGTAGATTATAGACAATCAACAATTGATACGATCTCTATACTTTACGTTGGAAGAGTTGTAAGCCGATTACTTGATGCTTACGTTGACTTCACAAATACTTTATGTCTCATGGGAAAACTTGATCAAGCTGAAGAACAACTAGACTTGGTTAAATGCCTGCTTCCTAGCGTTGAACATGAGCTTACGAACAAAATGCTCACCTTTAAAATTTTACACGGGTATATGAAAATTTATCAAGCAAAGAAGAGTTACCAGTGGGCATATGAACACTATGAAAAGGCTACTGTATATCGAACTACGCTTGAAGGAAACCAATATTATAGATTGCAACTCGCTAAATTTTATCTGGATGCTTTCGACACCTGGATTAATTATGATAAGTTTGATGAGTGTCAGCATAGGTTAACTGATGCTATTAGCATTATTTCTGAACAATGCGGTAGAAATCATAGTGATCTTGCGAAAGCATATTGTCAATTGGCTATCCTTGATTTGATACAAGGAAAATATGAGCTCGCAGAGAAATATCTCTTGCAAGCTTATGAAATTTATGAAAAACTGCCCAAGATTTATCCAAATTATTTCATTACATTGACGAATTTAATAAAAGTTTATCAGCGTTTCAAGGATGGAGAGAAAGCATTATTATATGCTGAAAAGCTTTATCAGAATGCGGAAAAGGTGCGGCCAAATTTAATGCTAGAATCTATCACGTGCTTCCTTGAAATCGCATTAGAACAAAAATGTTATCAAAGGGTTTTACCATATGCCGGAAATATATCAGCAAATATAGATAAATCAAATCATTCATATCCAGAAAGCGAACTTGAGAATTTAGATTATGCAACCCTAGAAGGTGTTTTAACAATCAAAAAGATAAAACTAAGACTACAAGTAGTTCAAATCATGTCATATCTTGATCAAACCACGTCAAGAATGTTAAAACAAAACATAATTAAATATAAGTATGAAAGTATTAAATTATTAACAAGTGTTATGAATCATCGTCCTGATGTAATTAAGCTTATTATCAGCCATTCTGAATCCATAGATGAAGGAAAACGCTTGTTGGATGAAGCTTGCACACAATTAATTCCTCGAGATGCATTAGAAGTTGCATTATTAAAAGTGGAAATTACAACCAACGGATTTAATGCAAGAGAATACTTAAAGAATGCACTTGTAAAGCACTCTATCAATTGTGCTGACGAAGCACAATTTGATCAGCTGTTAGAACTTACAGGACAATGTACTTTGACTATCGATATGGCGGCTGTTCATATTGCCATTACAGGGCAGAGTATCGAAAATTATTGTATCACTTTACAATCTGTTAGAAAAGCCGTTTGTACCGGCCATCCAAACATCAAAAATTATACCTGTATTAACTCTTATTCTATCTATCTATCAAATAAGTTTTTATCAAAGAAAGTGTTTGAAGAGCTTACTAAAGAAGCAGGTTACACAGCATTGATAAATAATAGCATACACCATCTGATGCATAAGATAGGAGACAAGGCCCCGAAAGCTTTATTTAATTCTTTTTTAATTAAGCTAGGTTTTACCGAAAAACACGCGAGTGATATTCTCATTATTCTCATAAACCTAAAGTTATTAAGAAGTGAAAACGAATTCATTTATATTCATAGCCTCATTAAAGTTTCATTGAACGTTGAGCTTTGTAATATTTATTTTCCAATAGAGTTACAGGCTATCGTCGAAGTATGTTGCCAATACCTAGAAAATTGTAGCCGAGTCGAAATAGAATGGACAGTAGTGTTTGACATTTATCGAAATGCCTTACTTGAACTTCATCAAATGCTTACTAGTGGCGTATACACCGATATAAGCATAAGTAATTGTGTCGTAATGAACATTCTAATTATGAGCGATATTTGTGAGGATTTAGGTAGATATGATCAAAAAATTTATTTGGAGCAATTGGAAGTGCATGATAAAAATACCGATGGATATGCTGAAATTCTTACTCGTCTTGCTTTTGCTGAGCGTAATGCCTCAAACTATTCTCGACAACTAAGACTCCTTCAAGAGGCGCATGTCATTAAATCCCGTCTATTCAAAAGTGACGATCCATTATTTGCAAAAAGCCTACTTAATCTCGCCTGCGCATTTGGAGATATTAAAAATACTGAAAAACAAAGGGAACTCAGCGCAAAAGGTTTGGAAATCATAAAAAGAGATTATGAACTAAGATATAATACTTTAACGCTTGAAGAGCGAGCTGAAATTGAAGTGGATATATTTAAAGCTATGAAAAATTTTGCTGCGGGTCACACTTGGGTCGACGATGCTCGACGTATGGAATTGCTAGAGAATAGTTTGGATTTTTACAATGAACATGGCCTCAATCGTCCAGTGATTAAGGCAAGTATATTATCGCAACTGATCAACATCTATTGTAAAAATGCACCCGAGAAGGCATTAGATGTGTATCAACAGTTGGAATCCTTACAAAAGAAACTCTATCATGAAGGGACACAAGAATATGCGCGACATGCTGGATTCGCTATGATAAATTATTCAATAGCGCTTTCGAATAACTCAATTGAACCTATTATGGTCTTATTAGATTTGAAAAATTTGCCTATACCAAAGGAGGAAATAAGGAATGTTGAGGAAAAATTACGTATCGCCAACAAACAGAGTTTACAAGCACGTCAGATTGCTGAAAAAGCAGCACACTTATTCGCTACTTATTTTCCTAACGATGATTATTTATTTACACAGGCATCAAATGCGTTAAGAAGCATTAAACTCATTGAGAATAATTTAATTGTGATTCTGAAGTTGGTTGAAGGCTCTAAATATCTTTACGATGGAAACCTTGAGCAAATCAAATTTACATTTAAAAATGTATTTGAAATGGCTCTTAATCAAGAATTAAAAGGTGAAGCTTTATCAACGATGGCAACTATTGACCTTATTCAAGCGAAAGAGAAAGGGACTATGACTAACCGAATACTTGGGGATTTTTTTAAGCAACAACACGATGCTATCAGTATTCATGATTCAGCTTCCATTCAGATGAATCTTTCTATAGCTTACTTTTTTCATAATTTTCATGAACAGGCAATCATTCATGCTGAAAATGCCATACAAAGACTGTATGATATACCGAACTTGCCAATAGGCATAAATAACAAAGTGTTTATGTCTTTTGACAGAATGACAAAGCCTATTCTACCTACCGTGCTTCAGATGTTTCTAGGGGAGAGTGATATGATAAAAGATATTCCCATTAAATTTTTAGCGAGATACGTTATCATTAACAGCTCATTTGTCTTAGGGCATACCCATAATGAAGCTCAAAAGTTAAAAGAATTTGCTCTGCTTTTTTCGTCTAATGAAACAGCAATCTCTCACCTTTTACTCGGTTTTTGCTACCAGAGGCAAGGAAATTGGATATTAGCATTGCAAGCTTTTAATGACGCGTACCAAAAACAACCAAACTTAAATTTAGCTCGAGTTAGCGTTAAATTGGCTCAGCTTTGCATAAAATTTTCAGAAATTATAGATGTTATGGACATGAAAATTTTTAGAGAAATTCGTGTAATTAATACCATTTTATCAGATTCAAATCTAACGCAACAGCTGACCACATGTGCAAATGTAGATAAGATAAATGTTAACGATGTTAAACATTTCGTCAAAGCTATTAATCACTCGTAAATAAAGTGATTAATCCTTGCACGTTCGAATCTCTATTGCCATATCCAGTATTTTGATAGATAAATTAAGAATTGAAGGCGTGATCCATGCTGCGCCGATCAACTATAGCCAATCATGTGATTTGAATTGGTTGGCCGGTCCAATACGGACAAATCTGACCGTTCTACCAGATTTATATATTCGTTATATATCTATTATATTTATCATATTTATCATATTTTATTTTTTATAAATGCTCTGTATATTTGACTTGCTAAATTGCAGAGTCACTACAATTATCTAATAAATTAATAGCACTTTATCTCTTAAACTTATCTTTGCTCATGAAATAATTCATTCTTCTTTAAATCTATATTGATAAAGATGACCTGACCCTTCAATTTAATTATTCGTGTTTATTTCTTCCATAGTTTAGACGCACTTAAACTCCCTGCTAGCAAATAATCTTTGTTAACTTAACGATAAACAGTTTAAGCTTAACAGCATACCAATAAAGCATTATTATAATTAGCGTAATAGAATATTTTGATTGTTAATAATACAGCTTGATTATCCTGTAACTAATAATAGAGCGTTGCTTTTAATGATGAAAGTTATTTGATTCTTTTAAAATTCATAACATTTGTATTCAATTTTTTTATCTTTATATTTTATTTTAATTGAATATTAAAATTTCATAAAATTTATTAAAGCTAATATTTTTTTTATATGGGAAGTGGTTAGTAGAAAAGGGAAAAATCCAGTTAATTTTAATTATTAAGCTAATTTTGTGCACATGACCGAAATCAGCCAAGTCCAATAATATAAATTTTAATCAAAATTTGGATTTCCTCCTTTTCTACTGATCATCTTCCATATATTAATTTATAAAAAGCAAATATTGCTTTATAATACAAATTTTTAAAATAATTATTTATTTTTTTACTTTTTTTTTTTAGGAAAAATTTGATTTTACAAACAATTAATATAAATATTTTCAATAATATATTACTATTTTAATAAAAGAACTAAAAAAATTTATTTATTAATTAAGCTATATTTAAAATATAATTAAAAACATTATTATTATAAATAACAATAATTTTTTATAATTCAAAAGTATTTTTAGATTAAAAATCATTTTATTTTAAAACTTATTAAAGTTCTTAAATAATTAAATTTATAGAAACAATCAAAGTAAAATTATAGCATTTCAATTTTAATTAAATATATATATAACGTATATATATAGAAATAATTATATATTCTTATATTTCTTTAAAATATAATTGTAATAGTCATATGTATAGTATATTAATCTTAAACTAAATAAACAAATATGATGCAAGATCTTATAACTAAATTTTATAATACTTTATAATAAAAGAAATTAAAGAAAAACTATCTATTATTAATAAATTTTCATAAAAAAAATATAAAATTAAATATTTTAATAAATAAAAATCAGATTATAAATAAATAATAATATTAAGATTAATTTTATAGAATATAAATAATTATACTTACAGTATAACTTTATAAACAAATAAATTTGCTATGTACTGTCTATCTGTCTTTTTTGTTCAGCAATAATAGCAGCTTGTTCATTCACTATATGTATTATTATCAAACAATTAATTTAAATTCAAAGATTAGCCAAAAATTAGTTTTTATATACTAAATTATACTAATTATAATATTTTTAAGTATAGTATATTAAATATTATTTTTAAAAAATGTTCATTTAAAATTTTTAAGATTATTTCTAAATAATGATATTCATTCATTTAAATTAATATAAATTGTTTTTTAAAATCATAAATAATAAATTTAAATAATATTATTATTCATTAATATAATAATCATAAATTTATATGATAAATTATTTATTAAAATTGATATATTCTTAAGAAATGATAAATTATTTATTTAAAATAATAATAATTATTTTTAAAAAATAGTAAATAATACATTTAATATATAAAAATCTTTCTTATGAAAAATTATAAATTAATTTAAAATAAAATTTATTTTTTTATGAAATATTCGAAATATTCTTATTTTAAACTAAGATAAATTCTTTAGAAATAATTTATAATGATATATTATTTAAGAAGTTTATACTTTTTAAGAATTTTTACTTTAAAATTTAAATAAATTTTTTAAATATTACATTTATATAATTTATTATATAAATAAAATGCAGATCAAACAAAAATTATTCTAATATATATATATTTTTAAAAATTTGAAATTATATGTTAAATAGAAATCAATTAATTTTAAATTTAGTTATTAATTAGTTTATTATATAATTATTTAATATTATTCAATTAAAATTTATTAATTAATTTATATAGTTAAAAAATTTGTTAATAATTCATTATTAATGAATTGGTAAAACAATTAATGAAATTTATTAAATTCATAAAGAATTTATTAATAAATTAATAATTAGTAATAAATTTCATTATAATTTATCACATATTTATTAATAAATTTTATTTATTATTAATAAAATCTATCAATATAATAAAATATTCATTAATAATTACAAATTTTATTAATTTATAATGAAATTCATTAACTATTAATAAAACTTGTTATAAATCTATTTAACAAAATTTGTTATAAATTGATAAAAATCTATTAATAGATAACAAAATTTATTAATAATTAATTGTTTTTTAATAATTTATAGATTTAAGTATACTTTTTTAAATATCTTCAAAATTCTACAATTAGTTTTGATGAAATTTTAATAAGTATTTATTATTAGTTTTATCATAATTTTTTTAGTTTAACATATACTACAATAGTTTTAGCATTTTAGTATTATTTATAATTTCAGCATAAGTAATAAGATTTTAATATAGTTTAGTAAATCTTAGCATTTTAGCAATTTAGTAAATAAAAAACTTTTAGTTTCTTTAGCAATATTAAAAGTTTCTTCAATTTTGAACATGAATTTTATAATCTAAAACAAATTTTTATCATCAATTCAAATATAAATTTTACTTAAAAAGTAAAATTATGCTAATTTGAATTTATCAATTTAAATAAATAAATTAATCTTATTTGTTATTTTAAATACTAATTTTATTAATTTGATGATAAATTTCACATTTTAAATTAATATTAATTTTATTAATTTTATATATACACTATTAATATTAAATCAAATTATATATTTACAAAATCAAAACTATATACTTTATTTTATAAATTTATTTTCTTTTTTTCAAAAAAAAATCTTTTTATTTTTATATATTAATAGACTTTTTTTTTATAGATAAGGTAATTGGTATTTTAAAATTCTTTTAAAAGATATTTTTCAGTATTTATTTAATATTTTTCTTTTTTTAATAATGACAAATAATAACAAATCTTCTTATAAGAATAGTTCTTATTTCTTTTAGTTTAAGTAAATTTATTTTTTTAAGATTTTTTAATAATGTTCTTTCAGTTTTTTACTAATATTTTTACTTTTTTTTTATAATAATAAATATTAGTCAAAATAGTCAAATTTGTGTAACTTTCAGATTGCTAATTATTATATGAAATATTAATGATTTCTAAAAAAAATTTAGTATAGTTAATACATTTACTTCTTAGCAATTTTTAATTAGTCATAATAATCAAATTTATATAACTTTCAAATTGCTAATTGTTATATGAAATATTGATAATTTCTAAAAAAAAATTTAGTATAGTTGATTAATATAATATATTTGTTTCTCAGCAAAAATCTTTAAATAATCAGAGTTATGTCAAATTATGTTTAAAGCAAAATTTGATTAATCTTTAGTTTAAAATCAACTTAATATTTTTTCAACTTTTAAGGCAAATATCATAGACAAGATTCAAATTTATTCCTTCAATAGTTTTTCTTTCAAATTAGAAGGAATTTTACTTATACTTTAAAGTTAATTTTAAATATATTAAAAATTAATTATCAAGCTAATAATATTTCTATAATAAAATTTATAATGATTTTTAAGTAAAATCAAAAAAAAAAAATTTACATTAATAAGTAATTTTTTGCAATAATTTAAGATCAATGTTTTGAAAAATTTTTTAATATGTATTTTCTTTATAATTTTTAATTTTTATTTATTTTTATATTATTAAAAATCTTTGTAAAATATATAAATTTATAATATTTATATATTTAAATATTATTCATTTATAAAAAAATTAAATTTAAAGTTAATATTTTAAGTATTTCAGATTGCTGTTTTTAGATTTTTTTATTTTGATATACTGATAGTTAGGCCTAATCTAATAAATTTGCAAAAAAAAAAAAAATAGTTTGGCTAAATTTTTGGTCAGAGTAAAATGAATTTAAGCTAACTCATCATTCTTTGTATATAAAATATGCATGGCTTTAATAGAGGAATCATTTTTATATAGAGTAGCCCAGTCATTGTGAACATGCAAGCAGCACAGCTCCAGTTTTGTTAATTAATCTTTATCTTTGATCATTTATTACTTAAGGAAATAATGTTTTAATTGAAGAAGGTCTTGCAAATAAAGAGAATGATGAATGATATGGAATCCTTATAAAAAATTTTTGCCTGAATATTTTAATTTTTTCTTCGTGTCTTCTGTAAAAATTCCGTGAAAATGAGCCCTTCATGAAAAAAAACATGGAAAATAAAACACAATTGAATCATTTCTTAAATTCCTCTCGTCATTAATCAATCTCCTCAAAACTTATCCATAACATTGACTCTATTAAAAATTTGATTTTACAAGAAAAATATCTCTTCCATTAATGTCCAATGAAGCATAATGATAAAGAATATCCAAAAACATGGTTACAATAACAAATGTGAATTTGGCTAGATTCAATCTGATGGTAATTATGTAATTTGTTTTTATAATTTGAAAAGAATTTTTTTTTATTTTTCCGATTATTTCACCAAATAATTGAAATTTTCTTATGTTAAATTAGTAGTTAATGAAATTGCATTATAAATTCAATTCAAATAAATTCCGATGGCATTGCAAGTCCGAAAGTATTTCAAAATTTTATAAAAAATTTGAAAAAAATGCATTAGATTTAGAAATTAAAATTATGGTCCTAATTCTAAAGCAACACAGAATTTCTTTGATAAAATCATTGGATCTAAATTTCTAAATTTATCATGAATTTTCTAACGAAAATGATCCATTTTGAATACATTGTTCCATGTTATGCCTATTGTATTAGAACGATGAATTGCCTTTGACAATTATAAGTTAAATACAAAAAATAATTAAATTTAATTAATATTATTAATATGCAATGACTTAAAATTTTAAATAATAATCATTAATATTTTTATAAAATATTGTTATTATGGCTTTTTTGTTGTAACACAATCTACTTTATCACATAGTACTATAGTTATTTGACATGTTATTTTGAAATAGACCTGTAGTTATTCAGAAGTCATAAATTGTAGATGAGCTGACAGTTATATTCAAAATTCTTCTTGTGCGATTATTATAAGTTAAATGATTATTATTATTATAATTGTTGAACGTTTATTCAAAACAAAATGACAAAAGTCCTTCCCTAATCTAAAAAGTCATACCAGGAATGTTTTGACGCATACATTCCCTTAAAATGTCTAAGTCAAATAACAAACCTAGGAAAGAATTTTGTCAATTAATTAATTTAGGTTCTAATTAAAGCGATTTATTATAATAATCACCTTGTTTAGAAATTTTATTAAATCAAAATCTAAATAACTAAAAAAAAAAGTGTACTGTTTAGATTATTATCCTGTATAAAAAAGAATTGTGTAATGTACATCATGTTATAATGTAAAAAAAATTGATTTTCCTAGTTTTAATTGTTGATGTCAATGACTAATTACGAATTAAATTTTTTTTTTCGTTTTCGTCCCTCGGATTTGGCGTGATTCCGCAGTTTCATCATTAGGTATCTTGAAGTTTCGTTAGGATATATCCAAGTCAGATGTTACTGAAGAATAATCATAGGAATCATGGCATCATCATTGCCATCGGATTACATAGCCTGGAGTTACATAAAAATCATAAAAAAACGAATAATTGTCATCAACTACACGACCAATTTTTGGGGTAACAATATCATTAAGAGCAAGTTGACTGCAGCACAAACGTAAAGTCAGGTTGGTACCGATAAGCATACTGGTTTGTAGGTTCTGCTTTAGTCGCTAGAGAAAATATGTATAGTTATTTGATAAATTTCAATAATGGAGAGACATTCCATTTTGATGTAATAACTATTTCATTTAGTTAGAAATTTTACTTAATTTACATATCATGAAGTAAAAAAATAGTAAAAAATCATATAAACATTACAAGCTACTGCTTTAAATGCTTCCGACAAAAATCTTAAATTTAAAAATTTAGGATCTGATGATATATGATTGGGCTTTCGATAAATTTGCTAACCACGTAAATTCAGATTATCATCTTTTGCACCGTGGAATTATTATTACAGAATGAGTAATCGCAGCCCATCAATCTAGAGCATAATGAACGGATTCTTCCTCCTTGTGTTATAATAATTCCTTGATATCGTTTCAAAACATTGCTTCGTTTATGCGAAGAAAACCAGATATTCCCTTTTAATCTATGATTAAGCTTCGATTATAAGGAAAATTCATTATCAATATTGAAATCTCGATTTTCTCTTTTCTCAGTATAAGAAAATACTAGGTATTCTATCTTGCATGCAATGGTACTTTATTGTCAGAAATAAAAGAAGTATTGGTCTCATTTATTATACTTATAGAAATATTTAATCAAGATTGACCGCTGAGCGTGGACAATTAAATATGCAAAGAATTGTCAGACATCAATAATTTTTTATTTTACATCGTTATTTAATAGATAAGATATTCATAAAGATGAAGATGATGACAACGATGTAGTAATAGCTATACAGATTTTGCAATTAAGGTTTGAAAATTTTGTGTTATGTTTTCTTGATAATTAACACATTTATTTGTTTAAAGGTCTCGTTAATCTTAACTGATGAAGGGTATAATTATCGGGAGGTTAAAAGTCGTTAGTTGCTCTTACACTAATATTTGCAACTTAATAATATTACATATTTTATATCATTAGTATTGCATATTTTCTTACATTTATTACATTTATGCTTTATATTTAACTTATGATTATTAAAAAAAGCAATGATAATATGAATTGTTTGATAATGGACAATTCATTACTAACTTTCGACAGGAAAATTTCAAATAAATTGTCACGTATTACAAAGTAGGTGCACTTAATTTCATCACATAGGTAATGTTAAAAGCGAATATTTAAACAAAGTTTGAGCCAAATTATTTTTTTTTTTTGATCATTTGATTAATTAATTCCTTTTAAATATTAATAGGAATGACCGCAATGCAATAATTAAACAAATACTTCATTTCATTCTATTACTATATATTATCAAGAAAATGCAAAGCGTTGTTACCATATGGTCATTATTATTTTTTTATATCATTGATGATGTGAAATTTTTATTGAAACATAAATATTTATTATTTTTTTTTTTTTGGTATGCGCATTATTTCCGTAAATAAATTTTAAAATGATTATAATTTGTAAAGTTTATAAAAAAATCTATAGGATATAAAGGGTTGAAAAATTAAAAAGACTTTACAAATTAATCTCTTATTGCCTGATTAATTACGCTACTTTAACATAGTGAGAAATATTGTCATATCTTTATTGTACAATAAAAAAAAAGAGTCTTTCGAGAAATAATGAAAGTTTTATTAAAAGATATAATAAGTTTAAATGATTTTATTTATTTTACAAAAATTTTCACATTTAAAAGAATGTAAAATGCTTGCGCTTGGCCAGATATAGTCAAACTATAACCGTTTATCCTGAACACCACGTAGAGGTGCGCAAGCTTTGTTCAGGTTAAAGAAAGTTGAACCACCACATATCAAATGTGATAGATCACTTGAGGTGAAAAAAAAGAAAGTGCAAACGAATATAATGGGGGGTATAAATTTAAAAACATTAAAATAAAATAAAAATTCACCTCAAAACATTATCGAAATACTCATGCATAAAATTTTTTTTTTTTTTTTAAAAGATAAATAAATTCTAAACTAAATAAAATACGGATGAAGTGGCCAAAAGAGGATATATTTTAATTGCAAAAAGGAAAATGAAACAACCAACTTCATATAACAGATACGATACCTTTGCATCGTAGTCATGCTTATCGTAAGATAAACACCCTAGTGAAAATTATTAAAAGGGGATTTTTTTTTTTTTTATATTTTTTAAATTTTTTTTTAATTTTTTAATTTTTTAATTTTTTTTTAAAAAATAATTTGAAACTTTTTTTAAGAGCCGGCCAAGACGACGAAACTAAAAGAGGTGGCCAGTTAAAAACGGAGGGGGAAGGGATAAAAACCATAATCAATGGCCACGTATATACCAGGAGGATCAAGATCCATTGGTTCGGGCCACTGGCTATGGGGGGGAATAAATGGGGTTGCAACAAAAATGCCAGGTGGATCAAGATCCATCGGCTCTGGCCACCTAAGAAGACGATAATGTATATAAGGGCGATTGAAAACGGGGAGGGTATAGGAAGGGGTAGAAGAAGTGGAGGAAATTGTGGAAGAAGTGGAGGGAGTTGAAAAAGGGGAACTTAAGGAAGAAGAAGAGGAGGAGGACGGGGATGAAGGGGGAGAACGATACACGGTAGTATTAGGGAGGGCGGAAAAAGGAAGAGCGAAAGGGTTAGGAGGAAAAAATGAAGGGGGAGAAGGAGGAAAATTGGGTAGGGTGGAAGAAATTGAAGAGGAGTGGGAAGGGGGAGTGGAAATAAGAGGGGGGACGTTTGAAGGTCCCGGAATAGGGGAAGAAATAGGAAAGGGGACGTTTGAAGGTCCCGGAATAGGGGAAGAAGAGGGTGAAGGAGTAGGTGTAAACTTAGGAGGGGAAAGGTTGGGAGAGTGTTGAAAAAAACTTAAAGTGGGACTATTTACGGAAGAAGAAGAAGGGGAAGGGGCAAGGGAAGAACCTGAAAGCAAAAGGGAAGAAGAAACATGAGAAGAGGAAGACTGAGAGGGTGAAGGAGAGGGGGAAACTGAAGAATAAACTGAAGAAAGAGGGGAGGAAGAAG